GGGCCCTGCCTGGCTGCACCTGGGGATGCTGCCCGCCGCCCACTTGGCCTTCCTTCCTGTCCCCAGATCGCCAAACAATCCCTGCGGCCTTTCTGCACTGTTTGCAACCGCTACTTCAAGACCCCCCGCAAGTTTGTGGAACATGTGAAGTCCCAGGGGCATAAGGACAAAGCTAAGGAGGTAACCCCAGCTCCCCCAGAGGACATGGGCCCAGGGAAGAAGGGTCTTGGCCAAGGCCACACAGCAAGTTGAGGTGTACTGCAGTCCAAATTCATGGCAGGTCCGGAGGGATGGAGTGCTCTGGGGTGTGGGGAGGATGGGGTGTCGCACCCTGGCTGCCCAGAGCTGACTTGAGTCTTCACCCACTCCCTGGGAAGCTGAAGATGCTCGAGAAGGAGGTTGCCGGCCCAGACGAGGACCACTTCATCACGGTGGACGCCGTGGGCTGCTTTGAGGGCGATGAAGAAGAGGAGGAGGACGACGACGATGAAGCCGAGATCGAGGTTGAGGAGGAATTCTGCAAGCAGGTGCCTGGGGGGCGGTGGTGTGGAACGGAGGCTGGAGGCTGGACTCCCAGCCCAGGAGAGACCTCACCCCGCCTCCCAGGGGCCGGGAGGCACTGTGCTGGCATCTTTGGGCACTAAGGCCTGCCACGATTTAGTGTCAATAGGAACTCTATTCAATATGACGATATGTAAATATACATCATGACGCCTATAGGGTGGCAGGTGAAATATGCAAGGTCTTCAAAGCCTGGCTGCAGTTTTTACTTGTGGAAGAGAAAGGGCATCCTAGGGCAAGAGAACAGCATCATAAAGGCACGGAGAGGGCTTCCCTGGTGGCGCAGTGGTTGGGAGTCCGCCTGCCGATGCAGGGGACGCGGGTTCGTGCCCCGGTCCGGGAAGATCCCACATGCCGTGGAGCGGCTGGGCCCGTGAGCCATGGCCGCTGAGCCTGCGCGTCTGGAGCCTGTGCTCCTCAACGGGAGAGGCCACAGCAGTGAGAGGC